TTTTCGGGTTTTTTGTTAATTTAGCAAAAACTAAAAACCCCAGTGGTGATTAAATACCACCAAAAGAAAGCTCTAGTTATGTGAACAAAATCATAAAAATTTAGTTTGGATACAGTTTTGCATGACCACACAATTGTCATTCAAAGTGTGAAAGCGCTGAAACCTGAAAATTGGCCTGGACAGGAAAGGGGTAAAAGTGCTCGGTATTGAAGTGGTTAAACCACCTACTGCATTCAAAAACACTTGACTTCTTCATGGAATGTTCAACATAAGTCTGTTGTAAAAGAGCTAAAGTCTCACTCGCACCTTTGCCAATTTTTACACAAAATTTTGGTGTTAATCCATTGCTCCGTAAACAGAGCAATGCACACATGTTATTTCTTCTATTACTCTGTAAGGACTGAGTCAACTGGACTGTGACCAATGTGAGTGCAAGTTAGAACATGTCAGAACACGGTCAAGCGCAAATGGCTGTGTAACTTATCACCACAGTGCTGCTTGTAGGCATTCCAGGAATTAAATTGCCACATCTCAAATATTTACATTGTTAACCCATTGACTATTTAGTTGTTCTACCAGAAATAACTTTTTGCAAATACCTTCTCAAATGCTGTAAAATTTCTTTACAGGAGGAAGATGGTAAGCGACCACCTCTGCCTGCTTCTCTTGTTGTGGGTTTCAGGGAAATCATGATGACCTCTAGATTCTATGGGCAGGTATTTCCCTAGCCATCATTACCATTAGGAAATATATAATCATTTATGGTTATTCAGGTTCATGCAATTCAAATTGGACTGGTTAAAGGTTGACTTTGCATGTAAATATTGATGATAAATCTACCACTCAGAAAATGTCCATTACTTGCCATCACGTTGGGACTCTAGAACATTTTCTCACATTATTGTCTATTTCTAGAATCCCCCTGCACCATTTCATCCCTAACATGCCAATTTTAAAATATCGTAATTAATAATTTGTCCTGTATGGAGCTTTTTCCAATGTATGCCATTTCTGTATGTCATCTGTCTGAGAAGTACAATCCTCTTTCTGGAACATTCTATGTTTGAGTAATATGCCAGATTTCAATTTGACATTTCAGAAGCTTGCCAACAAACACATGGTGTAATCAGTCGAAAACGTGGTGTAATAAAAACAGCAGATTTTGCATGATCAGGGGCGGACGGACAACTCATGGGGCCCCCGGGCAATAGGGGATCATGGGGCCCCTGTGTCCTTGCCCAAACTCAAAAAAGCCTATGAAAAAGGTACCGGGGGCATCTAATGGGCCCCCTACTGACCCCAGGACCTCGTGCAGTGCCCGAGTTTCCAAATGGTCAGTCCCCCCCTGTACATGATACACCATTCTTAATAAATACGCCCCTAAAGACATGGGTACCATTTGTTAAACACAGTTAAGCTTCAACTTTACTTTTAACACATTGACATTGCGTGACCATTATTTGTGAAATATTAATCACATTAAACATGGTTCCGCTTTGATTTTAGAATATATTGACAGTGTAAATTGTATATTTAAAGCCTGTCAGATGAGAGCGTTTTTTTTTTTCTGCGTATGTAGCTCAGCTTTAATAGATAGATCGCACTGATAATAACACCTTATCTTGCTTTTGGGCTTGTGATGCAGCTGCAAATCATTAGGAATAATTATTATGAATGGTGTTCTAAAGTAGAGGCCCTTAATTAAACATAATAACTTTGTGCGTTGTTTGGAAGGGATCCAAACAGATAAGCTCTTTTTTTTTTTTTTTTTTTTTTTTTTTGGAGAATATTACTTTTCTGTACAAACTGAAAAGGACTTATTAACAAGAAGTGTGTGTTTTCTAATTACACTTGTCCTTGTTTGTATGCTATTCATTAACTACTTAGAGTCAAAGCCAATATGATCTAATTTCCTGTACAGGACAAAACTCTGAACCTGACTAATGTGTGATCTTATTTTATCTGACATGATTCTACATCACTGTGAACTAACCTCTGAGTTAATGTGCTGCCCGCTTACAAATCTATTATTGGCTTTAAAGAAACAGTGACTTGCACAAAAGCCTTAAAAATCTTGCATTTTTAAAACTGCCTTTGTCATATAAAAGTAAAGGGTAATTTTTGTCTTTACAAACACGTGCAAGCATTGTGAATACGGATCAAAGACTCTACAAAAATAGCAAATGTTTCCAAATACAGATATTATGAAGTACATATTATATATTTTAATTCTCAGTTATAATATTCGGATTCTGCATCAGTTAGGAATTTTGGGTTGGTAGCAGTCAATGGTAGTAGAGAATCGTCAACTCATATCTGCTTATTATAAAGAAAATGTGTTCACTGTATGCATGATATAGCAATACAAATGAAATAAGACACTTCATGTATTAAGCTATAATGATGCCTTTAAGCTATAATGATGCCATTTGCCTTAACAACTTTATTTTTTATATATATATATATATATATATATATATATATATATAGCCAAAAGTATTGGGAGGTCTGTCTTTACTCGGAAACATGAACTTTAATGGCTTCCCAGTCTTAGTCTGTGGGGATCAATATTGAGCTGGCTGACCCTTTGCAACTATAACAGCTTCAACTCTTCTGGGAATCTGGGAAGGCTGTCCACAAGGTTTAGAAGTGTGTCTATGGGATTGTTTGACCATTCTTCCAGAAGGGCATTTGCGAGGTCAGGCACTGAAGTCGGACGAGAAGGCCTGGCTCGCAGTCTTCACTCTAATACATCCCAAAGGTGTTCTGTCGGGTTGCGATTAGGACTCTGTGCAGGCCAGTCAAGTTCCTCCACCCCAAACTCGCTCATCCATGTCTTTATGGACCTTGATTTGTGCACTGATGCGAAGTCATATTTGGAACAGGAAGGGGCCACCCCCAAACGTTCCCGCAATGGTGGGAGCATGAAATTGTCCAAAATGTCTTGATATGCTGACACCTTAAGAGTTCCCTTCACTGGAACTAAGGGGCCAAGCCCAACCCCTGAAAAACAACCCCACATAATAAACCCCTTTCATCAAACTTTACACTTGGCACAATGCAGTCAGGCAAGTACCATTCTCCTGGCAACTGCCAAACCCAGGCACACCCATCGAATTGCCAGACAGAGAAGCATGATTTGTCACTCCAGAGAACATGTACCCACTGCTCCAGAGTTTAGTGGCAGTATGCTTTAAACCACTGGCTCCGACACTTTGCATTGCACTTAGTGATGTATGGCTTGGATGCAGCTGCTCAGCCATAGAAACCCATTCCATGAAGCTCTCTACATACTGTTTTGCTAATCTGAAAGCCACAGGAAGTTTTGAGGTCTTCGTGGCTAAGTTGCTGTTGTTCCCAGTTGCTTCCACCTAGATATAATACCACTAACAGTTGACTGTGGAATATGTGGTAGCAAGGAAACTTCATGGATGGACTTATTGCAAAGATGGCAACCTATCACGGTACCACTCTTGAATTCACTGAGCTCCTGAGATTGACCCATTCTTTCACAAATGTTTGTAGAAGCAGTCTGCATGCCTAGGTGCTTGATTTTACACACCTGTGTCCATGGAGGTGATTGGAACACCTGAATCCAATTATTTGGAAGGGTGTCCCAATACTTTTGGCAATATAGTATATATATAGTATATAGGACTCCGGGCAGCGGCACACCGGGCAGAGGCACATCGAGCTGGACTCCGGGCAGAGGCACATCGGGCAGGACTCCGGGCAGCGGCACCTCGGGCAGGACTCTGGGCAGCGGCACATTGGCAGGACTCCGGGCAGAGGCACATCGGGCAGGACTCCGGGCAGCGGCACATCGGGCAGGACTCCGGGCAGAGGCACATCGAGCTGGACTCCGGGCAGAGGCACATCGAGCTGGACTCCGGGCAGAGGCACATCGAGCTGGACTCCGGGCAGAGGCACATCGAGCTGGACTCCGGGCAGAGGCACATCGAGCTGGACTCCGGGCAGAGGCACATCGAGCTGGACTCCGGGCAGAGGCACATCGGGCTGGACTCCGGGTAGAGGCACATCGAGCTGGACACCGGATCACCAGGCGGAGCAGCGGGCACCGGGCCACCAGGCGGAGCAGCGGGCACCGGGCCACCAGGCGGAGCAGCGGGCATCGGGCCCCCAGGAGGGGCGACAGGCATCGGGCCCCCAGGAGGGGCGACAGGCATCGGGCCCCCAGGAGGGGCAACAGGCATCGGGCCCCCAGGAGGGGCGGCGGGCGCCGGGCCCCCAGGCAGAGCGGCGGGCGCCGGGCCCCCAGGAGGGGCGACAGGCATCGGGCCCCCAGGCGGAGCGACAGGCATCGGGCCCCCAGGCGGAGCGACAGGCATCGGGCCCCCAGGCGGAGCGGCGGGTGCCGGGCCCCCAGACGGGGCGACAGGCATCGGGCCCCCAGGCGGGGCGACAGGCATCGGCCCCCAGGCGGGGTGACAGGCATCGGCCCCCAGGCGGGGTGACAGGCATCGGGCCCCCAGGCGGAGCGGCGGGCGCCGGGTCATCAGGCACGACAACGGGCATCGGGTCACCAGGTATCAGGTCATTTGGCTCGCCAGCGGGCACCGCGTCATCTGGCAAGGCAGTGGGCACCGAGTCACCAGGCACGACAGTGGGCTCTGAGTCAATTGGCACGACAGCGGGCACCGGGTCATCAGGTACCGGATCGTCTGGATCGACAGCGGGCACCGGGTCATCTGGCGTTGGATCGTCTGGCTCGACAGCGGGCATCGGGTCACCAGGCATGACAGCGGGCACTGGGTCACCAGGCATCAGGTCATTTGGCTCGCCAGCGGGCACCACGTCATCTGGCAAGGCAGTGGGCACCGAGTCACCAGGCACGACAGTGGGCTCCGAGTCAACTGGCATGACCGCGGGCACTGGGTCAGACATTGGATCGTCTGGCCCGACAGTGGGCACCGGGTCACCAGGCATGACAGCGGGCACTGGGTCATCAGGCATGGGATTGTCTGGCTCGACAGCGGGCATCGGGTCACCAGGTATGACAGCGGGCACTGGGTCACCAGGCATCAGGTCATTTGGCTCGCCAGCGGGCACCGCGTCACCGCAAGGCAGTCATCAGGCACAACAGTGGGCTCTGAGTCAATTGGCATGACAGCGGGCACCGGGTCATCTGGCGCTGGATCGTCTGGCTCGACAGCTGGCATCGGGTCACCAGGCATGACAGCGGGCTCTGGGTCATCAGGCATTGGATCATCTGGCTCGACAGCGGGCATCGGGTCACCAGGCATGACAGTGGGCACCGGGTCATCAGGTACCGGATCGTCTGGCTCGACAGCGGGCACTGGGTCATCAGGCGTGATAGGATCATCAGGCTGGATCAGTTCATCAGGCTGGGTACAGGCATCAGGCTGGGTACAGGCATCAGGCTGAAGTGCGGGTGCCGAGGCACCAGGCTGAACCACGGAAGGCGGGTTCTCAGACGGCAGGCTCACCGGTTTGGATACTGGCAGGATGGTACTGGTTGGAAAGAATTTCCGCTTTTTTCAGGTTTTAACTACTGGGGCACTGCAAGTAAACGCAGGTCTGCAAACGAATGGAGCAGCTGAGGACAGAGAAGAGCTGGAAGATGGAACAGAGGAGGGAGCAGTTGCTACAGAGGACTTCTTTACAGGGTTAAAGAAAGGATAGGTGCAGCGAGTGGGAGCAGAGGACTGGTATGTGGTAGTTAGAGTATACTGGGCAGTCACTGGGGGTGCTGTCGGGGATACAGGAAGAATGCCTTGAGTGGAGGAATGATGTTGTAAGCTGACTGAGGCTGGGTGCAACAAGTCTGACCATGTCTGCAGTATGGGTTGAACAAAACTCAGTTTACACAAAGCCTGTCTGGTCAATGACTGCACTGCGTTTATACAATCTCTTAGTACCTGTGGTGAACATGCAGAATAACGCTCCAGAAAGTAATCCACATCATCCTCTAATAACCATACCAGGGACTCTACCTGGTCGGCACTAAATGGTGGCAAAAATTCATCCCTGCATTCGGGGGTACCAGATGAAACCAACTCAGCACAAACCAGAACTCTGTGCCCTGATCTACTAGAACATGAGCAATCCGTATACATTCTAGCAGTTCATCCCTGGGATACTCCTTCAGAGTTTGATAAGCATACTCTCTGTCATCAAACACTAGCAGAGATAAATACACAACCTCATCAAGATCCATCCTTCCCAGCAACAAGCCAAGATGGCTTCCCTGTGCAGCCACTTCTGGTCAGGATTGGCCTTGGTGTAATGTCAGGGATCCGGGGTGTGACCAGAGGTATGTGACTGACGCAGGGAAACGCAGGCTTCAGATAAGTTATAAACAATATAATTTATTAAAGACTAACAATACAAACATAAACGCAGTGCAATACTAAAACATAACACAGTGCAAACGAACCAAACCAAACCACCCCACAGATAACAGTGCATACAATGCAAGCGTCGTCAGGCAGGCCGGGTCAATAACAATCGGGCAGGTAGGTACAGGGGGTCAGGCAGAGAATGGTCGGGGTCACAAGCCAGGGATGAAACAGGAGAAGTCAGCAGAGGTCCGGATCAGGCAGGGTCAGCAACGAATCAGACAGAGACAGGAACAGGAACAGGGGTGCAGGAACAAGATACAGGGCCCAGGAAAAACACACACCAAGGCAGAGACTGCAGGTCTGGCCATCCCTTAAATACACCTGCATAATCAACTTCAGGTGTTTGGCTGTCTGCAGGGTTGAGTCTCTGATTGCCGGGAGCACCCGCTGGCCAGCCCTGGTACTGCAGCCCACAAGGCAGGTGAGTCCCACCATTACTGGCAAGTCCATTCCTGACAGGTACTGTCCACATGCACTAAAGTCATAACAGGCCGCATGTGTTTTTCACAGGGTATATTTCCTAATTGTTGCTGACTGTGATTGATTTTTTCATAGCCTGTCCCTGTGCATATGCACCACAGTGATAACAGGCTGAATGTGTTTTTTTCACAGGGCATATTTCCTAATTGCTGTGTGTTATTTTTTTACAGGTCCTTTTAAGTCTCGGTTCACACTACTGCTACCTGAAAGTCACACGATTTGCAGTGCGACTTTGCCAAGCAACTTTGACAGGCAACTACTACTTTGAAGTGACTTTTAAGCAACTCTGAAGCAACTTTCAGGGAATGCCTGGGTAATCTTTCTGTAATGTTGGATCCAAATCACATCAATATAGATGAGGATCCGACTTGGAGGCGACTTCTATTAAAGTATATGGCAACAAGTAGTATAGAAGTATCCTTGAAGTAGTACAGGAACCTTTTCTAAAGTCGGAGCGACTTCAGAATTGCTAATTAAGACAGCTTGCATTGACTAACATGGAATTTCACATGTCATGTGACTTGAGCTCTCACAAGTCGAATCCCAAGTCACGGCAGTGTGAACCGAGCCTTAAACGTGGAACAATAGTGGAATACGCTGCATGGAAGCTTATAGTTTCCATTGGGAGAGCATATGACAGAGTGATTTACTGGTAGGAGGTTTCAGGAAACAGAGGTGGAGTGTTGTCATCCCATAACAAAAAGTGTCCAAAACAAGGACTTTTATTTCAGCAGTGCCGCACCAGCTGTTATTTTCATAAGACCCGGCTATTAAAATAAAAGTAGGCATTTTTAATGATACTACCATGTTACTGTCACCATGTTACTTTCACCAAGTCACCATGTAACTTACAGTCATGTGGAAAATGCAGTACACCCTGTGGGAATTGTTGTTTTTGTCGACAAATTTGAATCTTAAAAATATCTTATCTACAGAACATATTCATCATATCTAACAGATTTGTACAAATTGACATTTTTTAAATTGTCATCACAATCTCTATAAACACTTCATACAACTGAATATATAAAAGTATATAATTTTTTTATTATTTGCAGTCCAATAAAGCTATTCAGGAAAAAGCCTAACACATACATAAAACATAATACTGAGATTTTACAGTCATTAGTACTACCACAAATATGTTGCATAATATTTCCATATGTTTACCATCAGCCTAAAAATGACATTGAAAATAAACTTTATTTATACCAATTATAGCATAATTTTGAATGTAAAAGGTGGTAACATGTTTTGCAGAATACATCTGCTTCTTCAGACAGCATAAAAGCATTTACAGTTATGTAAAGCTATTGTTATTCATAATTGCCATAACCAGCACAATCATACAACAGCATTGCAAAAGTTGTACAATGATAATATCCAGTTCATATAATGTACTTACAACTATTACATCATCTGGTGTGTGTGTGTGTCAGGATAAGAGAAAGGAAAAAGGGAAGCGCTACCTAAGTGCAATATTTTTAATGAACCATTTATTAGCAAGAAGTTAAAAGCACTCACAAGAAGTGAAGTAGGATCTCACTCATCATAGATACTTTCAGCATCGGCAGCATTACCCACTCTATTTGTCCCTCCCCCCTTACTATTCCAGTAGCCCTGCTAATAACTCCACCTTGGGCTACCAGCTGGCTTGGTAGCCCTTGTGATGAAAATCTAAACTACTGATACCTTGCCCACAAATTTACCCATGTAGCAAACTGCCCTCTCCTTACCACTTGGGCTTATTTTTGCCCTTTCTCTATGGATCAAAGATTCCAGCTCAATATACCTCATCTATAGTCTTTTCACTTTCATGTTTTTTACATTATGATCAGAACTTTGAATAAAGGCACTACTTCTTGCTATTGAGGGTTTGAATAATAAAGGGGATTTGTTTATCTTCTCACTTTGATATTTGCAGTTTTTGCAACATGATATGATGGTTGATGATTTTTATTACACCTATGTACTTTTCCAATAAATCATTTTTTTTGGGGGGGGAGAAATCCTTAATTGACTCACCATGCCTCTTAACTCATTGGGCCTGTTTTGCGCTACAAAATGTGGTCATTTTGTGGGTGCTTCTACTGTCTTGGTGCTTCGGGCTCCAAAATGTGATGGGTAGTTAGGAAATTAGATAACTAATTTATGCCCATTGAAACTTGAAGGTGCTCCTTGGATTTTCGTCTCCTCTGTGTGTCTAGGCTGTGAAATACACTATCTTGCCAAAAGTATTGGGACTTTTATATATAAGAAATTCCTTTGTATCACAGTAATGTATGAGGAGAGTACGCCCCTTTTTTGCTTTCTTTCAGTAATATCAAGATTCCCCTGATCTTTAGAGGGCTGCACCTCAGCGAGTGACTGCTACTGTGTTCCTGAGATGCTTACAGACTTGAGCGCTGGTTCTGCTTTTTCTCTTGGCAAAAGTATTGGGATGCCTGCCTTTACTCGCACATGATAATGGCTTCCCAGTCTTAGAGTTCAGTATTGAGTTGGCCCACCCTTTGCAGCTATAAAAGCTTCAACTCTTCTGGGAAGGCTGGCCACAAGGTTTTGGAGTGTGTCTACGGTAATATTTGACCTTTCTTCCAGAAGCGCATTTGTGAGGTCAGGCACTGATATCGGATGAGATGGCCTGGCTCGCAGTTTTTGCTCTAATTCATCCTAAAGGTGTTCTGCCGGGTTGAGATTAGGACTCTGTGCAGGCCAGTCAAGTTCCTCCACCCCAAACTCACTCATCCATGTCTTTATGGATCTTGCTTTGTGCACTAGTGCACAGTCATGTTGGAACAGGAAAGGGCCATCCTCAAACTGTTCCCACAAAGTTGGGAGTATGAAATTGTCCAAAATGTCTTAGTATGCTGATGCCTTAAGAGTTCCCTTCACTGGAACTAAGGGGCCAAGCCCAACCCCCTGAAAAACAACCCCATACCTTCATCCCCCCTCTACCAAACTCTACACTTGGCACAATATGAATAAAGGAGTGCGCTAAATAATACCACAAAAAATAAATATTAAAACCACAAATAAATATCTATATAATAATAAAGTCCAACCACCATCCAAGTGATAATTATTATTGCGACCTTGTGTAAATCAAACAATCGTGTACAAATCCACCACTGAAATGAATAGACTCACCAGAGCTAATGCTGATCAAATTATAAATCAGCAAAATAGCAATTGCTCTGGGAGCGATGATCTGCAGGGATATCCGGAGTATGGGAGCAACAAACTGCAATTATACAGCCTTATACAGGTAGTCATCATTTTCTCCATACATAGTGGTAATACTCGAGGAATCAAAAGAAATAAAATGGTGCAGTATGTTTAAAACATTGATACTTTATTGCCATAAACAAAATGCACTCACAAAATTTGTGTCTAAGCCGATACCAGCAGTGAACAGCCTCTGTAAACATCCACTAAAGGAAAGCAGGGATAGGCCTCGCACACCGCGATCTCACAGTCGGCAGTCGGCAGTCCCGAGGAACGTCCTGACGTCACATCCGCCCCTCACTTGGCACAATGTAGTCAGGCAAATACTGTTCTCCTGGAAACCGCAAAACCCAGACACGAATTAATAAATAGTGTGGCGCTCTAAAAATGAATACATAAAATATATATATATATAAACATAACCATTTGTACTACGTGACCAAATAAATATGTGACCAATTCATATAGTGAATTAATTGCAGTATATCCAAAAAAATATATATATATTGATAAAAATAAATACCTCAAGTGATTTCAACAATAAACCTAGTATCCCCAGGTTATGTTGTTACATAACAAGCATACCATACAGTGATCATATATAATTAAATCCTGTATAAAGTGACCAACGTGCTAAAGTGCCAAAAAAATGTGCTAAAAACATATATTTCAATTCTTGAATATTCTTAGAACACTCAGTCCTTCAAGTGATATCCAAATCATGCGATGTGTAGTGATAAAAATAGTGATTTGTGCCAAAAAAAACTCCTCTCCTACAGGTGGCTAGATTGCCTCCTCACCTCCTCCTGGTGACCACTAAGGGCCAGCAG